AAAGCTGGAAGTGGAGATGTAGCTCAAGTGGTAGAGCACTAGCCTTGAGCTGAAGAGCTGAGGGACAGTGCCCAGGCCCAGAGTTCAGGCCCCACGATTGGACCCAAAAAAAACAAAACAAAACAAAACAAGAGTCTCACACATTTTCTCACCCAGACTGGTTCTGAACTGTAATCCTCAGATCTCAGCCTCCTGAGTAGCTAGGATGATCCACAGTGCCCAGCTTTGAGCCTTCCCTTCCCTGCATTTGTGATCTGAGGGAAGAGTCTGGGGAGGATGAGAAACTGCCAGGCATATGAGAGTGTAAAGCTCAGCCTTGTATCCCCAGCACAACTGTGCCACCAGGCCTCCAGTGATAGTGATAAGACTTGGGCATATGTGACTCTGAAGTCAGGCATGGTGACCTTGAAACTACCATCTTGGTAATGGGGAGGTGGAGCAGGAGAATGGAAAGTTCAAGGTCAGCCTGGGCTATATAGCCAGACCTTGTCTCATTAAAACAAAGAAAACAAAGCAAGCTGGGCAGTGGTGGTGCATGCCTGTCATCCTAGCTATTCAGGAGGCTGAGATCTGAGGATCACAATTCAAAGCCAGCCCTGGGCAGAAAAGTCTGTGAAACTCTTATCTCCAATTAACCAGCAAAAAGCTGAAAGTGGACAATGGCTCAAGTCGTAAGAGCATTAGCCTTGAGCCAAAAAGTTAAGGGACTACACAGGTCCTGAGTTCAAGCCCCAGGAGTGGTGCAGAAAAATAAACAACAATTAATTAATTAATGGAGATATTTATGGATGCAATGATGTTTGTGTGAGATTTGCTTTTTTTTTTTTGGTCCTGGGACTTGAACTCAGGGCCTGAGCACTGTCCCAGAGCTCTTCAGTTCAAGGCTAGCGCTCTATCAAGCCACCGCACCACTTCCAGTTTTCTGGTGGTTTATTGGAGATAAGAGTCTCATGGACTTTCCTGCCCGGCTGGCTTTGAACCATGATCCACAGATTTCAGCCTCCTGAGTAGCTAGGATTACAGGCATGAGCCACCAGCGCCCAGCTAAGATCTGCTTTTAGATAACATGAGAGAAGTGTGTGTGGGAGAGATGAAGAGGAGGAACCTTGAGGGCCCCCAAATCTCAGTATGTGGGAGACCCTAGTTCTTCATGCTTCCCTTGTGTGTCCAGAGTTCTGATAGCACACAGCAAAATTCCACATTTTCTCAGTACCCTCAGGATGACATGATTATATGCATCACATGAATTAGATGCCTCAGGAGACAGATGGAGGATCCAGGTTGGAAGCTAACCCCAGGCAGGAAAGTCCTTGAGATTCTTATTTCCAATGAACCAGCAAAAAGCCAGAAGTGGAGTGTGATACAAGTTGGTAGAGCATTGGCCTTGCTTGCAAAAGTCAAGAGACAGTGCCTAGGCCCTCAGTTCAAGTTCCAGTACCAATTCACAAGCACACACACAAAAAGAAAAGAAAAGCCAGGTACTGGTGGCTCACACCTGTCATCCTAGCTACCCAGAAAGCTGAGATCTAAGGATCATGGTTCAAAGCCTGCTTGGGGGGGGGGGGGCGGGCAAGAAAGTCTATGAGACTCTCTTTTTCGTTTGTTTGTTTTGGGTCATGGGGCCTGAATTCTGAGCCTGCGCACTGTCCTTCAGCTCTTCATCTCAAGGCTAGCGCTCTACCACTTGAGCCACAGCGCCACTTCTGTTTTTTTGGTTTTTCTGCTTATGTGGTGTTGAGGAATTGAACCCAGGGTCTCATGCATGCAAGGCAAACACTCTACCATTGAGCCACCTTCCCAGCCCCGTATGAGAGAGACTCTTATGTCCAATGAACGACCAGAAAACTGGAAGTGGAGTTGTGGCTCAACGTGGTAGAGTGCTAGCCTGGAACAAAAAGACCTCAGGGACATTGCCTAGATCCCGAGTTCAAACCCACGGCTGACAAAAAATAAAGAAAAGAAAGGAAGGGAGGGAGGGAGCGAGGGAACGAGGAAAGGCTGGAAAGAAAGACAGAGGGCACAGAGGAAGACAGAGGGGAGTCCCAAGGGACAGACCTTGTAGTGTTCATCCAGCACCATGAACACCAGCTCGAAGTGGGTGCCCTTGCTAAAGGGCATGCTCCTCTTCTTCTCCTCGTTGCCCCACTGGCCACCCTGCTTCGTGTTGAACACCACCTTGTCCCAGCCATCGAAGCGGGGGTTGAAGTGGAAGGCAATATCAGCCCCCGGGTCCTGCCCCACCATGAAGTTCACCTGGAATCTGGTGGACATAAAGGGCTGGTTCCTGGGGGGTCACCTCCCCCTGCCTCAGCCTGGCCCATAGTTTCCTGACCTGGACCTTCGTGCCCTGTGTGGAGGGGGGGTGCCGGCCCAGTACTGTTTTGTATTCTTTTGCACATTGAATCCTAACAATTGTCTCATTTACAGTTGGAGAACAGAAGCACAGAGGAGAACAGTAGTCCTCTGAATCTGGGTGACAGAGCTGGGGATTTGGACACAGCACTTGCATCAATCTAGATTCATGTTTTCAAAGCTCTCACTTCCAAGTTAGGTGCTGGTGACTCATGCCTGTAATCCCAGCTGAGATCTAAAGAATGTCCATTAGACGCTTATCTCCAATTAACCAGCAAAAAAAAAAAAAAAAAAAAGCTGGATATCTGCTATTGTGGGTGGTTCATGACTGTAATCCTAGCTACTCAGGAGGCTGAGATCTGAGGACAGGAGTTCAAAGCTAGCCGAGTAGGAGAGTCCCTGAGATTCTTATATCCAATTAACTACTGAAAAGCTGGAAGTGGAGATGTAGCTCAAGTGGTAGAGCACTATCTTTGAGCAGAAAACCTCAGAGACAGCACCCAGGTCCTGAGTTCAAGGCTCAGGGATCAGCACAAATAAATTTCTTTTAGAAAGCTGGAAGTGAATCTGTGGCTCAAGTGGTAGAGCACCAGCACTGAACCAATGCAAGTGCATAAGGCCTTTGAGTTCAAATCCCAGTACCAGCACAAAACCACCATAGCAGGAAAAAAATCTCATTTTATGTCCAACATCCTCTGTCTTTCTAGCTCTGTCTCTTTTCTCTTGTGATAGTGTCTCACTATGTAGTCCAGGCTGGTTTGAATCTCTCAATCCTCCAGCCTCAGCCTCCTGAGTGCTGGAATTACAGGCATGCATCACTATACCTGTAATCTCTTGGGTGAGCCTTCCATGCCCCTGCAGTCCCAAAGCATACACCTGCACACAGCTGATCTGACTACCAAGCTGCCTGGAATCCCCCCCTCCCCGCCCCTTCCCCATTAACCCTTCTTCCATTTTTTCCTTCCTGGACTCTTAGGCCTTGCAGGCCACCATCACACAAAGCCTAATGGTAGCATGAAGATGACCAAGTTCCAGTGCATTCTACACATCCATCCCACCAGCCCTGGTAACCAGGAAGGAAAAAGGTGGCATCATGCAAATGGCCTGTGGTACCCTGGCTGGCCCCAGCCCTCTGGGAGAGTCTCACCGTTTCATGTTCTCTTTTGCTACTCCCTGGATATACACGGACATGCCAGCGCTGAGCCCACCTGGGATGGGCTGGTTGTAGGGCAGCGTCTGTAGAGAGGGATATCAAGGGAGCTCAGAGGCAGCTTGCCTGCTACAACCCCTCTCCCTCTTTGAGAAGCCCCTCCCACCCCACCCCAGTGTCCCCCTAAACAAGGGGGAGGAAGCATGAGGATGAGATGGGGACCCAAAATGGCCTGAATGCCACTGTGGGTGGAAATCAAACCTTAGCCTCAGTTCAGGATGAATCAGGCCTGAGGAAGTCTTGGGATACTTCTCCCACACACCAAGGATGGATGTGGGGTGAATTGGTGGGGAGGGGGGCTTACCGGGTTGTAGGTGGGCTGGTAGCCCGGTGCCGGGACAAAGGCCATCTCAAGAGGCTAGGCTGGTGGCTGGTCCTAGGAGGAGTGTTGTTGCAGGAATGGGAAGCAGTGAACTGTGGCTGCTGACCCTTATAGCACAGTGAAGGGAGTGGCTGGCAGGGAAGGGGTCACCAGGTCCCTAGGTTAGAATCCGGAGGGTGCACCTCACTTCCTAGCCCTTACTGCCACACTGGGGCCTCATGCAAAGAGGGCCAATGATGGACTTTGGCCTTGCCAGAGCCTTATCAGAGACCATAAAGCCCTGCCCGAGGTCTGTTGGCAGAGGGAGGGGACAGCAGGTGGGCAGGGCGGGGCTGCAGGAGTGACTGCACAGGTGGGTAATGGAGGGAGATAAGAGCTGGAGACACAGCAAAGAACCCACATTCACCTCCAGCTCTCACATTATGACCTAGGGACAGGGGTTTAGAGCACATGGGTGGCTGGAGTGAAAAGGTTTTTTTTTTCTTTTTCCAATCGTGGGGCTTGAACTCTGGGCCTGGGCGCTGTCCCTCAGCACTTCAGCTCCAGGCTAACACTCTACCACTTGAGCCACAACACCACTTCCAGTTTTCTGGTGGTTCATTGGAGATAAGAGTCTCACGGAGGGGCTGGGAAGGTAGCTCAGTGGTAGAGTGCATGCCTTGCATGCATGAGGCCCTGGGTTCGACTCCTCAGCACCACATAAGCAAAAAGAAAAAAGCTGGAAGTGGCATTGTGGCTCCAGTGGTATAGTGCTAGCCTTGAGCTGAAGAGCTGAGGGACAGTGCCCAGGCCCAGAGTTCAGGCCTCATGACCGGCAAAAAAAAAAAAGTCTCACGGAGACTTTCCTGCCTGGACTGGCTTTGAACATCGAACCTCAGATCTCAGCCTCCTGAATAGCTAGGATGACAGGCGTGAGCCACTGGCGCCTGGCTGCCTCTGCTACTTTCTACTGGGTGTGCCCAGCAGACTCCAGCACTGCACTGACTATAAATAGGACAGGTGCCAGGTGGGTTGGGCACTGTCAGTCCAAGAATAGGGGGAGCAAGGATGGCCTTCCACACCCAGAAGGACGCCAGCCAAGGACTCCACCTCTTAAGACTTCCTGCTCTTCCTAAACAGTCTTCAATTGGTCAGATCTCATCATTGGCTGTGTATGGTGGTTCATCTCTGTAATCTCAGCACTCAGGAGGCTAAGGCAAGGGGATCTCGAGTTCCAGGCTACCTTATGTTATATATAATGAGACCTTGTCTCAGAAGAGCAAAAGAACCTCTATCCCCAATTTCACAGCTGCCTTCCTGGGAGACCCCTGGGCCTCCAACTCCCCCACCCCCCCCCCCCCACCCCCCCCCCCCCCCACCCCACTCCAGTAATGAAGCCAGGTTCTCTCCAGAACTTTATTGTTCTTAGTGAAGATAAGGGCCTGGGTAGAAATGAGGGTCATAAAGATAAGGCTTGAGAGTGCTCAGAAGGCACTAGAGGCCTGTCCTGAATCCTCCCATTATAGAGGAGGAGGCAGGCACTGGATCTGGAGACGGGCCTGGCGCTCAGAGTTTGGAGAAGGTGATGCTCTTCAGGTCCTTCTTCTCCATGGCCGCCTGCACCGACTTCACGATGTCCTGGGTCTGCAGCATGCTCATGTTCCAGGAGGCCTGCGGAGGGGGAAGGCGACACTTAGTGAACACCAATCCGAGGGTGAGGCTTGCACCAGCCCGTCCCTGAGCCCCAATTGGCCAGGCAGGGACGCCGTGATTGGAGGAGGGCTGGGCGGGGGCGGGGTAGGGAACAGTGAGTGCCTTGATTGGTGGAGCAGCACCAGGAGTGGGAAGTGAGGTGATTGGTGGAGGCCTCGTGGGGCTAGGAGCACAGTGATTGGCTGAAGCCGAAGCTCACCACGTAGTCCAGCGCCATGTCCACCGGGTGATCCCGCGAGTAGAGCAGGTTGACCTTGGTGCTCTGAACGGCCACTGGGCTCTTGCTCGACACCTCCGCCGCCAGCGTGAAGGCTGCGTCCAGCATGGCCTCCTTGTCCGAGAACACGCGGCTTCGAGAGCAATCAGAAGGGCAGGTGAGGCTCTCCGTGTGGACCCCCATCCCACCAGGCGTGGACTTTCCCCTCCCTCCCCTGCCACACTCGCAGGGAGATGCCCTTGATCTCGGATGGGAAGAGAGGGACTCGCCCCCCCCCCATGGCATGGCTGCACCCCCCCATGCTCGGCCCCTGCCCTCCTTGTCCTCAGCCCCCGCCCCCAGCCCCATCCTTGGTCCTTGCCTTCTTCCGTCCTCAGCCCCCATTACCTGACCAGGCCACTGCTCAGCGCCTCGTCTGCCATCATCTTGCGGGCGGTGAAGGCCAGCTCGTTGACCAGGCTGTGGAAAGGGAGTGCACACCAAGCTATCCTGTAACCTGGGGTGGGGGAGGGGGGGAGACCCCACTGTCCTCCCCGCTGCCCCCCTCTCACCTCTGATTCCCAATGACTTTGGGTAGCCGCTGCAGTGTCCCCACATCAGCGGCCAGGCCTATGTCCACCTCCTGGTGAGCAGTGGGACTGTCATTATTTGCTCCCAACACAAGCTCAAGTCCAGAACTGAAGAGCCATCCGTCTCCCCCACCACGCCATTTCTGCACCCCCTAAATACCTCCAACTCCTCTAAAATGCTGACCCCAGCCAGTGTCTGGAGCCTCCTTTTCCCAGGAGACCCCCTGGTTCTTTACAGTGAGCTCTTCAGGTTGACCCCACTTTTCGGGAGACATTGCTTTCCCCCTCCCTCCCTCCCTCCCCTCTTCTCTCTCTCCTTCGCTCCTTTCTGGTCCCACCCTGCACTTTGGCTTCCTCCTGTCTCTCTGGGCCTCCAGTGTGGCCTGTGCCCCCTGCCCCCTGTCACTCCTCACTTCCCTGAACGCTTGCCAGATTTTCTCCATGGCAGTCTCACACACACACCCCCTCCATGGTGCTGAGGACAGACTTCAGGGACCTGCACGTGCCAGCCAAGTGCTCTACCACTAAACCAAACCCTCAGCTCTTGGTTTGGAGAGGCAAGGTCCTGCCATGTGACCCAGATTAACCTAGAACTCCAGTCTTTCTGCCTCCACCTCCCAAGTGCCAGGATGACAGCTGTGTGCTACCCTGCCTGTCTCCTGAGCCTCACTTTGGAAGGGCCACTCTGACTCCTCTGCCATGAAGCCCTCAGGGCTTGCTCCCTCCACACACGTGGTCCCTGATCTGACAGGTGTGCCACTCTCTAGTCAGCACTGTGGGAGGAGCTCAGGGAGACTCACCTTGACCTGGAAGAAAGCATCCTGGGCACAGTAGCGGATGTCACAGGCAGTGATGAGGTCCACACCTGGAAGGAAGAGGCCAGGGACAATGCAGAGGGAAGGAGCCTGGCCCTGCTCCCCAGTCATGGCCGCATGCAGGGCCCCAGCAGCAGAGAGCTGAGAGTGGAAGCCCTGGCTGAGGGAGGGGAGGCCTCAGCCCTACCCCTGCCTAGGGGAGTGGGGGAGGCACACTCACCTCCACCAATGCACCCGCCATGGATGGCAGCGATCACAGGTTTGGGGCACTGGAAGGGAAGGCAGGGCTGGGGTCAGGGCTGAGGGCAGTGGGCAGAGGAGCTGCTGCCCTGCTGTGCCCAGAGTCACCTTCTCAATGACGGTGAAGGTCTTCTGGTACTGGGTGATGAGGTCACGGAGGTACCAGCTGATGCGGGCCACGTCGTCTCCCTCAGGCTGCAGCAGTTCTGAAGCCATGTCCATGAGGTCAATTCCTGGCCAGGAAAGGGGGGAGGAGGCACTCACATAGTCTTCCAGCACTCTAGAACCTAGCCAGGACTCAGATCCAAAATGGTCCCATGGTCACTAGCCACAGCAAGTTGTCTCCTGAGATTGGGGTTTGAGATGGCGTGAACTTGTACCTCCATCTTCCTTCTTCTGACTTTTCTTCTATTTTTCTTTTTTTTTTTGCCAGTCCTGGGGCTTGAACTCTGGGCCTAGGCATTGTCCCTGGCTGTTTTTTGCTCAAGGCTAGTGCTTTACCACTTGAGCCACAGGGCCACTTCCACCTTTTTCTGAGTAGTTTATTGGAGAGAAGAGTCTCTCTTAGACTTTCCTGCCCAGGCTATCTTTGAACCATGATCCTCAGCTGTCAGCCTCCCAAGTAGCTAGGATTACAGGAGTGAGCTGCTGGTGCCCAGCTTTCCTGGTTTTCTTTCATGCTTTGTTTTATAGGGCTTTTACTCAGGGCCTGGGCACTGTCCCTAAGCTCTTTTGCTCAAGGCTAGCACTATCACTTTGAGCCATAGCTTTACTTCTGGTTTTCTGGTAGTTCATTGGAGATAAGAGTCTCACTGACTTTAGTGTCAGGCTGGCTCTGAAGCATGATTCTCAGATCTCAGCCTTTGAGTCACTGGTATGCAGTCTTTGTTTTGTTTTGGAAACAGAGTTCGCTAGGTAGCCCTGGCTGGCCTGGAACTCCTGACCCTCCACCTCTGGCTCCTGAATGCTCAGATTCGAGGCCTGGACTGCTGTTCATGACTGTCCCAGCTAGAGTGTGGCTCAGTGGTGGAGAATCTGCCCAGGATGGGCAAGACCCTGAGTTCCAGCCTGCAACTATGGCTATCTGATGGCCAAAGAGGTCCAGGCTCCATGGTGCCATAAGCAAGAAAGATAAACCAGATTAGATCTTGAGTTTAAGCCCAGGACCAGCCACACACACACACACACACACACACACACACACACACACACACACACGTAAAATTAGACTGGAGCAATGTGACACAGGCCTGTAATCCCAGCACTTGGTGGAGGCGGGAGGATCAGGAGTTGGAGGCTAGCCTACAATACATCTCCTTGAGACTCCATCTCAACTATATGAAAAGTATGACATATATCTGTGTTGGAAGTCAGCAGGGAGGCTGTTGCCTTGTCTACTGACCTCAGTGAAAGACCTGAAGGAGACAAAGGGAAGAGACATGAATATATCTAGACTGTGGTGAACAGATGATGGAACAGCCAGTGCAAAGGCCC